GATGCTGATCCCCTCAGAACGCGCCGCTGCCCTCCCGGCTGCCGCCCGCGCTCACAGATGGGGATGGCGGAGACGATGAAGGCGTTGCCGAAGAAGAGCGCGGAGGACTTGGCCGAGAGGTTGCGGCTGAAGTCCTGCAGCAGCAGATCCTCCTCGGACTGCTGCCGGCCCGGGCCGCCCTTGGGAGCCATGGCGGGACAAGGCAGCGTCAGCGCGGCCGAGCGGCTCCGGGTCAGGCGGGCGGGCCCGGCGGCGGGAGCGCTTCCGGAGCGCGGCCGGCCCCGCCCTCGGCGGCCGGTCCTCCCTCAGCCGGTCCTCCCTCGGCGGCCGGTCCTCCCTCAGCCCGGCCCGATCCTCCCTCGGCGGCCGGTCCTCCCTCAGCCGGTCCTCCCTCAGCGCCCCGATCCTCCCTCGGCGGCCGGTCCTCCCTCAGCCGGTCCGAGACCAGCCCCGATCCTCCCTCGGCGGCCGGTCCTCCCTCAGCGGCCGGTCCTCCCTCAGCCGGTCCTCCCTCGGCGGCCGGTCCGAGACCAGCCCCGATCCTCCCTCAGCGCCCCGATCCTCCCTCAGCCCGGTCCGATCCTCCCTCAGCCCAGATCCTCCCTCAGCCCGGCCCGATCCTCCCTCAGCCCGGCCCGATCCTCCCTCAGCGCCCCGATCCTCCCTCAGCCCAGATCCTCCCTCAGCCCGGCCCGATCCCTCAGCGCCCCGATCCTCCCTCAGCGGCCGGTCCTCCCTCAGCCCAGCCCGATCCCTCAGCCCGGTCCGATCCTCCCTCACGGCCCGATCCTCCCTCACGGTCCGATCCTCCCTCAGCCGGCCCGATCCTCCCTCAGCCCGCCCCGATCCTCCCTCAGCCCGGCCCGATCCCATCTCCATTCCGTTCCCAGTCCCTATCCGATCTCAAACCCATCCCCATCCCGATCCCATCCCCATCCCAGTCTTGATCCCACCCCCATCGCGATCCCATCTCCATTCCGATCCCAGTCCCGATCTGATCTCGATCCCGTCCCTATCCCCATCCCTGTCCTGATCCCAGTGCTGATCCCATCGCCATCTCCATCCCATCCCGATCCCATCCCCATCCCATCTCGATCCCATTCCCATCCCCATCCCAGTGCTGATCCCATCCCGATCCCATTCCCAGTCCCAATCCCATCTCCATCCCAAACCAGTCCCGATCCCACCCCCATCCCAATCCCAGTCCCGATCCCATCTCCATCCCATTCCAATCCCATCTCCATCCAATCCCGATCCTATTCCATTCATGATCCCATCCCCATCTCCATCCCATTCCGATCCTATCCCAGTCCCGATCCAACCCCCATCCCCATCCTGCTCCCATCCCATCCCCATCCTGCTCCCATCCCCATCCCCATCCTGCTCCCATCCCATCCCCATCCTGCTCCCATCCCATCCCCATCCTGCTCCCATCCCCATCCCCATCCTGCTCCCATCCCATCCCCATCC